TTATAGTATATAGTATATGTATCAAGTATATGTATATGTATATAGTATATGGATCTAGTGTATGTATATGTATATGTATATGTATATGTATATGTATATGTATATGTATATGTATATGTATATGTATATGTATATGTATATGTATATGTATATGTATATGTATATGTATATGTATATGTATATGTATATGTATATGTATATTTATATTGGGCTCTTTGGATGCTGCCATGGATTTAGAACACAGGACCAACACAAACGGGTGCTAACTATAACTAACTGACCGAACGAGTGACTATATATATTAAACATAAAATACTTTCACATTATCTGTTATCTTATTACATCACCAATTGCATGGTACTGTACACTGTACTGTACTAAGGTTAAAAAATAGGGAAGGATAAACCTGCATTACGCAAATTCTAAAATCTATTGTCTTCACTTGAAAAATGTATTTTCTCGACAGAAGAAATAGAGGGGCCGCAAGGAGACCGATTGACCTTCGATCAAATTTTCACGGACGAGTTCAGCACAACTAAGTATTCAACAACATGGATTACAGGTAAGATATCGCTATATATTTTCTTCTGTATCTTCCTCTCGCCTCCCCTATCTTGCTTATGCCCTTTCACTCGTGCCTATTCCATTACTGTCGAATGGTGGGGTATATCGCTCAATTTTGCAAATTATATTTGTGAAATACTCAGTATAGAGAATAACATTATAATTTTAGCGATGAATGCTTTTCTTCATTGGGGATTTTTATCACAATAAATGAAATTTGAGATTAAAAAATGATTTTCTCTAGATCACACCCTGACGACAAATGCTAATACAGCACATATATATATATATAACATAACTCAGCTATAATATATCAAGAGTCCATAATAGAAACATTTTCTATTATGGACTCGTGAATATATGTGATACGTTAACAACTCGGGCGGCTTAGAGTGAGGGAGAGCGAGAGCGAGAGGAAGAGAGATTTGTGCGCGTGCGTGTGCGTGCGCGTACTGTGTACGTGCGCGTGTGTGCAATGTATGCGTGTGCGCGCCCGTGCGTGATTGCGTGTCCGTGCGTGCGTGTGAGCGCGCTCTATTAAGCGTGTGAACTGCCACCACGTTAGTTTAACAATTATAGTGCTGCCGTACCTATGGTCGCGGAATGCATGGAATTACATCCGTTTTCCAGATGATGAGTTTGTCTACAGGGATGAAGATGGGGCGCTCATTGTGCACAACGCACGGCTGAATAAGTATCGTACTCTGATGGACAACAGCACGTTTGTAAGTTACACGGACGGCGAATGACTTGGAATGAATATATACATCATTAAGGATTTATTCACGTGTATTTTTCCACAGGCGGACGGTTTGTAGACTAGGACTATTTTAAAGATGGTGAATATTTCAAGCCGCTGATGGATTTTCTACAATTCCTTACGCTCACTGAAAACCAAGTGGTCACACTGATATATCGCAAAGCCACCGAAAAACGTTTGCTATAGTTATTGTAGTGACGAGGCATCATCTGAAGAGTTGATGTTCGCGCTAGCCGCACTCCAATAAATAAATAAATAAGAAAATATATAAATAAAAGTGCACATGTGTGTGTGTGCGTGCGTGCGTGCGTGCGTGCGTGCGTGCGTGCGTGCGTGCGTGCGTGCGTGCGTGCGTGCGTGCGTGCGTGTGTGTGTAGGGAGAACGGTAGACTTTTATTGTCATGTTTGAGTTACGCACGGTCACCCCCGGCGATGGGCTGATTACTCCAGCTGTTGCCCTTTGCCAGCTTCTGACATGGCAATCGCTTATATTAATTACTGCCACGAGTAGGCCTATGCTATGCTATGCTATATGCTA